TACGTGCCTCCGATAGCTCCTCTTCAACCCGTAACGGTAACTGCTTAACCTCATCTCCCACCTTATCCAACTCATCTGTTATCCGCTTAACCTCAAATCTTTGATCACTAACCTGAGGCGGACTGTTCTCATCAACATCGCCCTCGCGGCGGTTCTCCATCTTCTTCACTTATTCTGCAATAGACAATGTTACTTCGATCAATATCACGAATGTCAATATCACGACGCCGAGTTTTATCGCGACGATATCGATCGATAACACGCAATAATGAACACCACAAAACACAGTGTACCGCCTTACACCTCACTCTTGTAAAGGCTTCTCACTTCCCTGGACGGCTTACTCTGCGTCCCTGCCCTCTTGGGGTTCCCTCTCTTGGCCCCTAGCCAACAAGAGATCACCTTTTCTCGAAAGTTCCCGGCGAATCCCTGCTTGATTCGCCTCCTCTACCAGCCCTTGGACGGCTTACTTTGCGTCCCAGCTGAGGCTCCTCACTGTTCCCTATCTGAACAGTTTTCAATCACTACCGAGCTGGGGGTCGCCTTTCCTGATCACTTGTCGGCGATTCTCAAACTTCCCCCACGCTGGTTCTCCAGTTCGGCTTATGCGGTCCCCTTTGACCGTTCTCTGTCTTCTATGTGCTACCACGCAGCCAGTCACAATCGATTCGACTTGATCGGTTCGGCCCCCATGTACCGGATGTGTTCCCGGTGATTCGATCAAGTATGACACCGAAGTGACAGTTCTGCGAGCACGACAAAGACACTGTTTACGAAAACAATTTATTAAACAAATACTTTACAATGAAAGAAACGGCAACCAAATCAAATGAACAAATAAAGCGAATAAAAGTGAATCTTAGGTAGGTTCAAATAAGGGGGTGAGGGAGCACCGCGACTCGGCGGTCAAAAACAGATCGAAAATGAGGCATGTATTCCACGCATCCGCAACTCTTATATACTCCTAATTCCCGCCAAGATCACGGCGCTTCCGGGGGCCTCTCAATGACCTGCCCTCCCACACCTACTATATATAATCCGCTAAGTTTGTCTGTTGGTGTGTTTGTGTGTGTTTGACCGGAAATTCATAACTTTCTTCAAAATAGCGATAAAGCGCTCAAACTTATAAGTGATGTAGGGGGTCGGGCAGGAACATTATTGGTGGGTGGCAGGAAGTGATAACAGTTGATAAGATACCATAAGGGGCCTTATAAAGGCAAAGTCAGCAAGTTCATTCATAACGCGCGTCACAGCAAAGCTAGAGCGTTGCGCTCCACAGAAGTAAGATAGGGGGGCAGGTGGGACATTATTTGGTGGGCTGGCGAACATGATAAACAGCTGATAAGATATCATTAAAAGAGCCTCAGAATGGGATAGGGTCACAACTTCGCAGCGCGGGTCATAGTAGCGGGACGTTGGTTCCAAGAAGTATGACAGGGGGCAGGATGGGAACATTATTGGTGGGTGGCGGGACGTGATAATAGCTGATAAGATACCGTATAGGTTCTTAGAGGGGATTACCGAATTCAAAATTCGCTTCAGGGAAACTGTAGAAGTTGGCTCCAAAAGTAAGATGGGACGGGGGGGGGCGGCAGGAGGGGGAACATTGTTTGCGTGGGGTGGCAGGCAAATGATAACAGCCTGATAACATATTCACAAAGCCCTTATAGTACGTTGACTGCAAGCGGTGAAATAGGAGATAGGATGGGAACGGTGGGTCAGAGAGGAAGCTCCCAAATCCATGGGCAAATACTTAGTGAACCAAATGTTTCTATTCCTCAGCGATAGTCGAAATTGATTCGACCGCTAAACGCTCGAGTTTCACCCAAAAGTAAAAGCCTAAAGATGTTTTCCAGTGGAATGATAAGAACCACCAGCAAACGGATACGTGAAAGCTGCTCAACGGAAGCGCTAGGATATGAGGAGCTTTCACTAAGATCCCGATTACCGAAATTCTTTCAACCGCTAAGCTTTTCTACTTCCAACAAATGTTGGGTGTTTTTATAAATGTGATAAGCACTAGACATTGGCAAATGCTTATCAAAGGTGAAATATGATGAAATGGGCCGCCGTTTGAAACATGGGAATTAGGCCACGTGTAGTGGTCTGCACGAAAATCCTGTCAGTGATCAATACCATAGGTTTGATCATGCGCGCAGTAGTGCGCGTCAGCCAAACTGGTATTCAATACTTTTTGCGATAAATAGGAATTAAAGCTTAGAAGAGCTGATCATCCTCTCTATGGAATGCGCCATGCTCCCGTCTTCCATGCAGAACAGCAGGACGTAGAACTATGGATCTATAGAATACGGACCTAGTGTAGATCACACAAGCCACTTGCCTAGCTAATAGGCCCCTTGCCGTACTTATGGTTAGAGAAAGGAAGTTGTTGGTATGCTGTCATTCCATTCACAGAGATAAATCGACATTTTTTTCATCTGTGTTCCCAACTCGACGGAGACGGTGATATCGCTTTCCACAGCGATGCACAAAAGCAAGGGCAGTGTTTTGCCAATGTTGCTCTGTTCATTATTGATCACATATGAGCGATCACATTATTGATCACATATGAGCGATCACATTATTGATCACATCTGCACATATGAGCGCACGAAATTGGCCCAGTAGAGCTTGGTGACTTGCAGTATTCCTACTGGCATGTGGCGTGGGACTCGGGCAATTTCGCACTGAGCGGATGTAAATACCTTGTTCACGGGTAGAGCCATGTTTCAGTGAAGCTATTTTCGTAGAAAAATTCAGTGGAATTCCGACCTGCTTTCGAAAAGTAAGGCAGGAAGGGGTAAATAATGACCAAACTTGCGAATGTTGCTGGCAACACCACTGCACAACTTCACCCCTATACCCTCGTCTTCGCAAAATGCCTTTTTTTCTTGATGATGTGAACTTCGAATTCGAAGAAGGCTATGATTATGTTCTGGTAACTATCCAACGAAAGTACAGAAGTATAGCGATTTATTCTCGAACCTGATACCTTTAAACTCTGATACATTTACCAACGACGCACTCAAATGTTAACAGCAATTTGGGAGAGACAAAATTAGTCCGACTTTCAATGCGCTAGCCCTGGGACAAATCGCCAGAAAAAGACCAAATAAATTAGAAGAAACAACAGAAGAAAATCTGCAAATAGTTGATCCTTCAAAATATCTTTTCTTTTCTCAAAAATACATAACAATAACCAATGAGGCACAACATGTTGAGATCCACAATTACATTTTGCACACAAACGAAAAAGCAGAATTGCCTAAGTAAAGAACTCTATATCAAATAGTAGATAAGTCATCAATTGTTCGTCCATACTTCTTATTAGGGACGAAGGGCTCCCATCGTGATGCTGGGTAAATATGTTTGTTTTTCTCGTACCAACTTCGTAGAACGACCTTAAGCAGATTTTGGACAGGTAAGGCAATGAAAAATATACTAAATATGTTCAAAACCGGGTGAAAAAGCAAGCGCTAAGATCCTAGAGATCCACATATCGTGAAAGAAGAATTTCAACAAATTTCGTGCACAACTGACAAAATAGGACACAACCACCGTCAGGTAACTTCGCCGGCCCAGATACATGGAGATGCCACAAACGAGATCCCGTCGGGTGATAGCTATATGTCACAGTTCCTGGACTAATTAGTAATTTGTATCAATAAAAACTCACTTTAGCTGGATGCGCTTCTCCGCAATCAAGAGCAGCATCTTGTCGTATCCGCACATCTCCAGCAGCATCAAACTCATACAGAGGTCCAGTTTTCCCCATGGCCTTCGTCACAATAAAATCTTGAAACCTAAACAGTAATGCAATACTCAGCAACATCAAAGGCTCTTGGCAGAAAAAAAATTGAAAAAACAGCGCTGACGGAATGGTGGACAACGATTAGCTCCGAGTAGAGATTACGTTGAATACAGCCGATATCTAAAGATATAAAAGGCGTGGCAAGGAAAGCGGCGAAGGTTGAAACAAAGCGGGGCAGGGGCGCACGTGTAAGAGGCACAAAAGTACGCAGCCACGCCCCTTGCAGTCCTCCGCTATGGACGCCGACCTATTCCATTTCCCCTCTCCGCGTAAGTTGTGGAATTATTGCAGCTACAAGAGCAGCCGTGTTGTCATCTAGCAAAGTGCCCCATCCAAGATGGTCTGTGAATTTTCTCTAACGAACCGGAATTTATGGTCAGCAACACATCTTTACAAGCAAAGCTATTTTTGGCGCTAATAACCTGCAGAGTGAGCAGGATTAAAGCGCTTTGCGACCAAAACCGATATCGCACTAATGAGAATGGGCTCACTACGCTTGAAAACGGTTCACCTCATCAGAGTAAGCTTCCAAAGCCGCTGCAGAGTTGGAGAGGCGGAGTCAAGGAGATCTCACGAAGGTGGCTAAACATTAGTCGATTTCGCCACTTGGGCAAAGCCTAATCGTACATATTCTTCTTGGCGAACTCATCAGTTCTCCTAGTCCTCATGAAATAGCTTTAGGCGAACTCGTTGCTGATTGAAGAAACGGAGCGGATATCTGCCAGTAATTGTAACAGGCATGGTACTCACGTGTAGAAATGTGGAATGATCAAGTCCTCTTTGACGAACATCAAGTTTTCGGCAACGCTTGTCTTGAGCTCAGTGAATTCCTTTTTGAGTACCTACAAAAACGAAGAGCATTTCATGCCGATGAACGAAGCATGATGCTTCTCGATAACGTACAACCAACCTCAATGGCCCATGTGAGGAATTGCGAAATTGTATGACCTTTTTTAACTTTCAGGTTTTTCCTATGACTTGAACCATCCCAATAGGCGAATGCTACAGTAATTTCTTCATTTTTCTCCCGCTCTTGTTGTGCTTTCCAAATGGCGGCAAGCTCCACTTTCTTCCTGCAAACATCAAATTTGGGAGCTACTCTATGCTGGATAGCAGACATTATCTGATGTTACTTTTCAATTTCTGCTTCGCGATCCTTGTCAGGCAGAAAACTCGTATCTATTGTTGGATCCATGCCCAGCCTCTAAACAGTAAGAAGAATTACATCAGCAATGCTAAGAATGCAGCTATGTGCGGTGAAAAGATACCTTTTTCGTGATGACCGGTGCTTCCTCCTCCTCCTCCTCTTCGTCTTCGAAAGCAAACGACAAAACTCGCTTCTGAAACTCCAACTTCTACAATTGCCATGATTAGAGGTATTGAAAGAAATGATACAGAAGGGATCTCGAACTTCCAATCACTGATCCACTAGAAGATACCGTTCATGAGTGTTTTCTGAAGGACTTCGCAAAACTGTACACTGTAGTTCGCTGCGGACGGTGGGGCGTGTCAGCCAGAATGAGTGTGCACAGCAACAAAGCCGTTCTCTGCCTTTTGTTGAAGCGCGCATGCGACAAAAAGTGGTAGAAAACGAGTAATACGAACGATATGATACAGTTGTCACTTGCTCGCTTCAACAACTGGTGGAGAACGAGTTTGGCACCGCGCCAAACGCAGCCGCACTGACACGCCCAACCGTCCGCAGAGAACTACAGTATAGCTACGTTAGAAGATATGAAAATATTAAAATAGCTAACTGAAATAAACTTATGAGGTCAAACAGTCAAATATAAGATCGCTCTAAACATTTCTCATTGCTGTTCCTTATGCGGGAGAGTGGGAACGGAGGGGGCATTTTACCAGTTCCCATCTACGGAGGACCTGTAAACTCCTCTAAAGCTACGAAACGACACTTAAGACAGGCCACCTTGTATAGACTTGTGAACCCTTATAAAGCTGATACAGCCATAAGTACTGACGCTGATGATATTCCATAACTTTACAAGTACATGCGTTATCCAAGCTTTTCTGCGAAGCATGTTCCAACTTTGAAATACTTTGCAAGCTTCGAGTAGAGAAAACTGAAGAAACTAGGAACACGCAAAATGCCCCTCCTCCTATAAAGGGTCCACATCATTTTCACATACCTATTAGGGTGCCGGGAAAATTTGAGAAATTTTAACACTTATGAACTACAATAAGAAATAGGAATTCATAGTTATAATAAACATTGTACATTCCATTTCCCTTAATTTTGGGCGGGACTTACTTTGCGTGGGAGCTAGAATGAAGTGAGTACCAAGAGTGCAATGGCGTACATCCAAGCTAAACTTCCATGTAAGAGACCGATTGATCTCCTACCACAGATAGTTTTGGAAGCGTCTTTTATCCAGCATCGGTGACGGTTCCTCATTCCCGATTTGACCGATAGAGCAGCCAGAACGGTGAAGATGAAGTAAAAGGGATTGGGAGCTGTGTGCGTGCGTACATTTTTCGGGTAATGCCGACTCACACCGGCAATGGGGAATAACGCTAACAGCATTAAAATTAATTTTTCTCTTTTCCATAGCACTCAATATGTATAGGACTTTCTGTTGGGGAATTCGCTTGCTACACTTTTTCAAACTAAAGGCGTGAAAATTTTCTCAAAACTTTCCGAACAACCTTACACATGCATAATATAGCGCAATTTTCGCAACTGGATAACAGGGTAATGCTTAAGCGTGCACGAGCTTGACAGCCATAAAGATGAGATGTTAGTGAATTCTGGAGCAGCACTTTTCGGGTCCCTTAGTTCTACTCCAATAAAAAACGAGGGCTGCATATAGTGATGTTGCATTAGTAAAGGCATTTTTCAAGGACCGTGCAATCTTCCCGAGAGCTCAGGTCATCACTCCTTCGCAGGCGGTATATCTCGCCATGGCCGGCAGACATTATCAACTTGAAGTTACTGTGACCCTTTCTCATTCTCTTATTCATATCTAGAATAGGCTTCGGAACCACTCTCACGATCACGGCGGTCGGCGGAAACACAATGTAGCTGGATGACCTGACCGGGAGATTTGCCACGGTTCTCATTTCCCGAGCACCAAAGTACCGTCACCCCCTCTAATGACGTGGAGACGGCCTTCACTCCTACAAGATCAAAATTAGGAATGAGTGATATAGTAGGATTATTTGTTCAACCGCGCCACAGAAATTCCGTTCGCCCAGAAAATTGGGCGTTCTTCTAAAGTTACCGAGAGCGCCTATTTCAACAAGCTTCATGCATCAGAAAATCACCAGCCGTAAGACTCATACAGTCTTGTTTGCTGCGGATGACGGGGCGTTTACGTGGGATGGGTTTGGCGAGCCGCCAAACCCGTTACCCGCGAACAAGCGGCAATACTGCATCATATCGTTCGTATTAGCTGTTTCCCATCAAATGTCTCCAATTTCTGAAATGTTGTCGCTTACCCGTTCCAACAATTCCAGGAGAACGGGTTTGGCGTCGTGCCAGACGCATGCCGCTCGACACGCCCTTTGATCGCAGCGAACAAGACTGTATACTACTGTCATCTTTACTTCGCGACACAACAGAATGACATTTAAAGAAGTGTTTAGCAACTGACCTGTGCGACTTTCCCCTCATCCGTGGAATTCAATTTACTGCCGTCGCTTTTCTGTGACTTGGAGCTTTCACCACGAACCACCGTCTCTTCCCTTAAGTAGAGTCGTTAGCAAATATGCAGTGAAGTTTTTTTGAGAATAATTGTTTAAATCCGAGGTAGATCATACCGATCGTGGACGACATCCTTCTGCTTTTCGCGCATTTCATCGAGAGTTACCAATCCAACAGTTTTCGTCTTGAGATGTTCCTCAACGGCATCATAATTCGCTGTGAACTTTGAAGATATTCCTGCCGCCCCTGAAATTCAAGCGTAAGAAATACCATAATTTATTGAGAAATCGGATACAATGCTTGACAGCAGCTCACTTCTGGAGGATTCCTCTTCCATTTTCTTCAACTGCTGCTCCATATCCTCTTTTGCGCGTTCGCGCTTTTTGGAGAGATGGATGAGACGACCAGCATCAGCTCGCGACATCTTTTACTGGAATTTAGATGCAGCAACGACACCTCGAAAGATCAGCAGCAGAATGAAGCTCCAAAACTATTACTGCACAATGTGTGAAAGACTCAAAGTGTCCAAAAACCTTCCGCAATATTTTCCTGCAACATTACGGTCTCTGTCGAATGTAAAGTTGTTTCTGCCAAACGAGGTTGTTAGATAGAACCTTTTTATTGGCCCGACGTTTCGACCTTCTCGTCTTCTTCAGAGGCCGAGGTTCCACCGTGCGGAGCCTAGCTCACGCTATGTGTCAGTAGGGTAAGTAAGGACGATTCGTCGGGCCAATAAAAAGGTTCTATCTAACAACAACCTCGTTTGGCAGAAATAACTTTACATTCGACAACATGCCAAGGTTACAAGAAGGGACAACTACGGAGATTACGGTCTCTCATCTTCGTGTGGGTTGAGATACCGGAATAATAAAACACGAAGATACTATGGCCCAAACGAAAAAGATTCTTAGACCCTTTGAGCTTCTAGGTAGCGTTCATACTTCGCGACAGCAGCGGCGATCGCAGCGATCGTCGGTACGCGAAAGAGCGGGCTCAACGCTACTACTTGGACCGCTCCAAGTGCTATCAGGAAGACTTGATCGATTTCGTGCTTTTTTTGTTCTTTTGTTTGCAATTGTTCCCGGTACTAAAGCTTGTTCCACTCAAGGAAAGGTAGATCTGACTTAATGGCATTTCTTTCCTATTTTCTTTTCCGCTTCGGGATAGAAATGAGCAAAAAGCGTGAGAGCTTCATTCAGGGTAAGTTTCTTATTGTTTCTTTTTCATTCTTCGAGCTTATACATGAAGTTATGAAATTTTCTCCTGTTGTTGCATAAAAGAACTAGTGTTTCGATTCCTAGGTGCGTTTCATTCTGTTTCTTTTTTTGTTGTTCGAACTTGACTTGTAAACTATAAATGTTTTGAAAGCTAGAACAGTCCAGCCAATAGGAAATTTTTGAAACACATACAGCTTCAAACGACTTGAAACAAAAGAAACAAAAAGAAGCTCATTCAGGAAATGAAGTTCCCCTCATTCCGACCTCAAAGAAGGTGAACCCCTCCCCCTTTAGAAAGTCAAAAGTTTTCAGTTGGTAGCCATTATTAAGAGAAAAAAAGTCTTACAAGTTGGATTTCCTTAGTTATCAAGCGAGCGGTCCAAGTAATAGCGTTGGGGCGCGCTCTGTCGCGTACCGACGATCGCCGTGATCGCCGCTGCTGTCGCGAAGTATGGACGCTGCCTTAATGACGATCTTGGGGCCTCATTTTGTTGTTAGCTATTCATTTCACCAAAAGGGTTCAGAAGTAAGCAAAAGTCATTGTTAAATCGAGTTCATGCCTTCTAACAGTAAACAACTGAAGAAATGAAGAATTGCAGAACTAAAGAAAAGGATTAGATACGTATCGAGCTGAAGAACTATGGAAGAAGACCGATATGTTCCTTACACATATCGTCAAAACTTGCAACTCCTCAACTCTGCAATCCCTCGGATCGATACATCTATCTAATCCCCTTCTTGAACTTTGCAATGCTCCATTTCTGTTCGTCAATATTCAGTGTCGCGACGTATGAACGCGGTCTGGGATAGATTCTCGAAAGCTGCGACAGAATAATTAGAAATTACGCCAATGCTAGATGAATCATAGGCGAAACTTAACAGTACACATGTAGACCATTCCAGAACAATAAAAAAACGTTTAGAAACCGAAACGGTTACATCCTTAGGGTGTTCGCTGATCAAAAAGTTCGTATAAAGGTCTTTATCAGAGAGCCCTCCAACATATGAGGAACATATATCTGTTAAGAGAAAGCAGAATAATAAATATTCAAAAAAACGTTGTGAACTCTCTTTGAACGATGATTGGCTACAAAATTACCCGTACTAATTAAGCTCTATCCCTGAACACGACACCTGCCCCTTTAGCCCCGAGGGTTTGAAAACACGCTGTGCAAAGCAGTCAAAGTAGCAATAAAACATCTAATTCAAACATTTTTAGCGAAATTCGTTTGAAAACACGGACGGTAATTCCGGACTTCTGTGCGGAATCACACGCAATGCAACGCATTCGACGGCTAACTTGAATGACTGGTATTCGCGAACATTCGGTCGTGCGTGCAGATGGAACATAAATCTATAGGCAGAACAATAAATATTCGAAGAAAACGTAGATTGGATGCTCTTCAGACCCGTGCCTGGCTATAAAACAAAACACGAGACTGAAATATGAGACAAAATTTAAAAATTACCGTCTGTCCAATTAAATTCGCAGGAGCTGACTTCTGAATGTTCTGCTACTGCTTTCGTGGCTCTGTGACGCTTTGAAACTTTCGAGTCAAAAGGAATAGGTTTTGCGTTTTACGATGGGTGCTTTCAATTCTTTGGAGTTATATGGAATTGCATCAGTGTACAGTCGTACAGTGTAAATCATTGTGGGTCGGGTCCCGTCATAAGGGGTTTGACCCAGAATGAGGTTGAATAGGTGGGTCGCATTTAATGCTGCTAGAACTTTTAAATGATGTATTTATTTATTTCCATCGTGAAACGTGAAGCCTGTTTTATATCGCTCTACGGTTTGAAAAGACCCATCGTGAAACGCAAAACCAATTCCATATCGCTCTCAAGGTCAGAAAACACACGAATGAGACTGGCCATCAAAGCAGAAACAGAACATTATAAAAATGGTACTTTCTGCAAAATTCATTTGAAAATATAGACGGTAATTACAAAATTCTGTGCTAAATTGCACCCGCTGCAATGCATTCGACGGCTAATTTGAACCGCCGGTATTCTCGAACATTCCATGGGCCGCCCATGTGTTGAAACCGACCAATCATAGGTGTTGGCTCCGCCCGATTCTCTAGAACATTCAGATCCAGTATTTAGGCCACCAGCTCGAGTGTGGTTGGTCTCCTCAACTGCACTTGGACGTGTTCTACCGGTCTGTTTCTAGAAGTTCTGTTGGTTTCGTGCGTGTTGCCTTTTGACTTTTTGGCGTACAGACTACTGCGCCGTTCTCCTTGTTCGTGATTTTGAGCTTTTCGCGTGAGCGATTTTGTTGGTGTGGTACCATAGCTGACTGTTCCAGTTTTCAGAAATGTCTGACGACAAGGGCGAAACCTTTGCATTCCAAGCTGAGATTGCTCAGCTTATGAGCTTGATTATTAACACTTTCTATAGCAACAAGGAAATCTTCTTGAGAGAACTAATTTCGAACTCCTCCGATGCATTGGATAAAATCCGATATCAGGTTAGTTCGCAGGTTTTTGAAGCTTCAGCAGATTGCCAACAGTAGTTAGATAGCCGCAGCACTTGACAGACGGCTCCGTGAGGGTGGCTTGGGGAAGCTGGTTGCTAGCTATACGGTTATGGTGGGATGTGATGATAAAGAAGGCAGACCACAGGACGCCTGTCCATCCCTTTTTTCTTACTGCTCTATTCTTTATCTTCCGCCCTCTCATCCCTTCCTTGTACTCCTTTTTTTCAAATTCTCGGTCAGAAATATGCCATGAGAAAACACCTCTGGACCCACGCAGCGAAACCACATGCACTTGACAGAAGCCCCGCAACGCTAGTGTAACAAGTGGAGCACTTGTATAGCTGGAATTGTATTGCACCATTCTGTGGTCTTGTAACGTGTGCAAACAACACTGTACCTGAGGTGAAAGTGAGTTGGCTTAGCGCTCTGGACGGGTTCAAAGTCTGCATCTGTGGATCGTGACAGCCTCTTCACATATGAGATTGGACGCCGTTCATGACCTGGCTACACTGAACTCGCATTCATGTATGGCTGATAAGATTTAAGTAAATGCACCCGTGTGCTGAAGGGCAAGGTGATTGGAAGCGAGAATTGGTAACAGGTCCTTTTGCATCTACAATCGCTACTGGCAGCACACCCATAACTGCTTTAATCAATGCTAAGACTTAGTGGAGGTTATGACTACTGTGGGAGACTATCCATTGGCGACTCTGGTCTACGCTGTTAGCCGCAGTTGAATGTCCCGGATCCCCTTCCACGCAGGCCCAAGTTAACCACTTCAACCGCTAGCGGCATCGGCCTTGTTGGAGGAGTCTATGCGATGGCACTGTGGCTTCTCTGGTCATCCGCGTTCTTGTATGATGCTTGAGCATTGAGTAAGAAAGGAATCATTCGTAGGAATGTTTGAGAGAACAGGCGACCAGAGTCGCTGTGTTTTCAAGGCGTAGACTCCTCCATAGCTCCTGTTTGGCTCACCACCAGATTGCTGACAACCAGGGGCCGCTGGCTACACTCGCATAGCAGGAAATCTCTGGGAGGCCCTATACTTGCGTTTTGATTAGGTGGAAGGATACCGAGGAGCGATGAACTATCCCACCTTACCCTTCTCCCAGAAAAAAGCGAGGGAATGACTTGCAGGCGAAACCCACAGCGCGAAGATTCATGCGAAGCTGAATCCGAAATCACAGTGAGAGGGTGTGACCTAGTGGAAGATGGAACGTATCTGAGACTCGATGTCTTGTTTCGTTCGACTACTGTAGCACTCATGTCTTTTCGTCTGCTGCGGAGAGGGGTGCTTTAAAAGGTAATTGGAGGAATTAGGGACTTCTGCGCCAGACAAATATAGGTAGCAGAAAGCTGATTCTCGCAGAAAGTACCTAGGATAGTCAGTGGATGAGCTTCCTATGAGTTGGAAGGCGCTCGGAGCTGTCTCCCACTCGCAGAATTGGCTGTGGGGGTATTGATGCCTACTGATCAACAGCCGAGAGCCTATTTCCAAGGGTATGAAGTGCAGGCAACGGAGTCTGCATTCCTCTTGCTGATTACGTTACCCAGAGCACTGGGAACAAAACCTGAGGGCCAGGTAGGGGTACATTTTCGTTTTCTGCTAGCAACCCCGCCCCTACATCGCAGTTGAACGTCCATCAAACGATCTCGGACAATAGTACGACTTAGCTGAATTTCACTCTTTCTTGGTTCTCTGTAGAATATGGTATTGAACTAATGGTGATTTCAGGCTCTTACTGAGCCAGGAGAGCTCGATACTGGAAAGGAACTTTACATCAAAATTATTCCAAACAAGGAGGACAAAACCCTCACCATTATCGATACTGGTATCGGAATGACGAAAGCTGACCTCGTCAACAACTTGGGAACGATCGCTAAGTCAGGAACGAAGGCTTTCATGGAGGCGCTTCAGGTAGGCTTCGTTTTTGTTTGGGATGTCTGTGTAATTTTTCTTCATAAAAGATTCATGTTACATTATTATAGGCTGGCGCTGACATATCTATGATCGGCCAATTTGGTGTCGGTTTCTACTCAGCATTCCTTGTCGCGGACCGTGTGGTGGTCACGTCAAAACATAACGATGACGACTGCTACCAATGGGAATCCAGCGCTGGTGGCTCATTCGTTGTTAGGTAAGGTTTGTTGTTCAATCTCCTGTTTCTTATGTACTCAACATTGCATCTTCAGGGCTGTTAACGATCCAGAAGTCACTCGTGGTACCAAGATCACTATGCACATCAAAGAGGATCAGACTGAGGTGTTGGAAGAGCGCCGTATTAAGGAGATCGTCAAGAAGCATTCTCAGTTCATTGGTTATCCCATCAAACTTGTGGTAGAAAAGGAGCGTGAGAAGGAGGTTGAAGATGATGAAGCGGAAGAGGCAAAGGAGGATGTGAGTGTCTAAGATTTTTGATTGGACGGCATTCAGACTTTGCGATCGCGTGACTACGATTGATGGGGCTCCTTCGCCGCAACGGCAGAATGCTAATTGGGCCGCGTTCACACAATTCAACAGTGCCAATTTGAATTGTGCCGTTGCGGCGGAGGTGACGGTCGCGCGGTCGTGAAGTCTGAACGCGGTTTTGTGACGGCTGTGCATTGCTCATCGTTTTTGATAATGCTAAGTTTTACAGGCCAAGGAAGGAGAAGTCGAAAATGTTGGCGAGGACGAGGATGCTGACAAGAAGAAGAAAAAGACGAAGAAGATCAAGGAGAAGTATCACGAGGATGAAGAGCTCAACAAGACTAAGCCGATTTGGACTCGCAATCCGGATGACATCTCAAATGAAGAGTATGCAGAGTTCTATAAGGTACGTTACTGTCTGGGCTGGCGTAGTTAGTCTGCTTCTCCTTGATGATTCCTCGTAAGAGGTAAATCAAAGGATTTACTACGAGGTTCTTATTTCAGAGTCTGTCAAACGATTGGGAGGACCATCTCGCAGTCAAGCACTTCTCGGTTGAGGGTCAACTTGAGTTCCGCGCTCTTCTGTTTGTTCCGCAACGCGCTCCGTTCGATCTTTTCGAAAATAAGAAGAACAAGAACTCCATCAAGCTGTATGTTTTTCACTACTTTTTGATTCGAGTTAGTTTTGTTTGCCGAGAGATTCATACAGCTGATTGTTTAGGTATGTGCGACGAGTCTTCATCATGGAGAATTGTGAGGAGCTTATGCCCGAATACCTCAACTTCATTAAGGGTGTTGTAGATTCTGAGGATCTCCCGCTCAACATTTCTAGAGAAATGCTCCAGCAAAGCAAGATCTTGAAGGTTATTCGTAAGAATCTCGTGAAGAAGTGTCTCGAACTGTTCGAGGAAATCGCCGAGGACAAGGACAACTTCAAGAAGTTCTATGAACAATTCGGAAAGAACATCAAGCTCGGTATTCATGAAGACTCAACAAATCGCAAGAAGATGGCTGATTTCCTCCGCTACTATTCTTCCTCATCTGCTGATGAGCCAACATCTCTCAAAGATTACGTCTCACGTATGAAGGACAATCAGACCCAGATCTACTACATCACTGGAGAGTCCAAGGATGCTGTTGCAAATTCTGCATTCGTTGAGCGTGTGCGCAATCGTGGATTCGAAGTCCTATACATGGTTGACCCGATTGATGAGTACTGCGTGCAGCAGCTCAAGGAGTATGAAGGCAAGAAGTTGGTGTCGGTAACGAAGGAAGGTCTTGAGCTTCCTGAGTCTGAGGATGAGAAGAAGAAGTTCGAGGAGGATAAGGTTTGTGAAAGTCTTTAGGCAACACTTTGTTAATGTGTGCTTTATTGTCATTGGTTTCGTTGTAGGTCAAGTTCGAGAACCTATGCAAGGTCATCAAGGACATTCTTGAGAAGAAGGTTGAGAAGGTTGCTGTTTCGAACAGACTTGTTCACTCCCCTTGCTGCATAGTCACTTCTGAATACGGTTGGTCGGCCAACATGGAGCGCATCATGAAGGCACAAGCACTTCGAGACTCATCAACCATGGGCTACATGGCAGCCAAGAAGCACTTGGAGATTAATCCTGACCATGCTATCATGAAGTGAGTACTTTAACTCTTTCGCTCATCTTCCTACTGTTCTTGGATTCATTGTTTCTGCATTTTTAGGACGCTGCGCGAAAGGGTCGAGGTTGACAAGAACGACAAGACCGTGAAAGATCTTGTTATTTTGTTGTTCGAGACTGCTTTGTTGTCGTCTGGATTCACTTTGGAGGAGCCGCAGTCCCATGCATCACGAATCTACAGAATGATCAAGCTCGGTCTCGATATTGGAGATGATGAGGACGAAGAACTGCCCGCCGCTTCGTGTGCGGCCGAGGTCCCTAAAGTCGCCGGTGCCGAAGAGGACGCTTCCCGAATGGAGGAGGTCGATTAAATTGTGCATGCTTGTTATTGTTTTCGAGATCTCGTTCACGGCGCCGTATCATTCTTTTTAGAATGTAGTGATCATGGCTTGCCGTGATCATATATTTTGTTCTGTTATGTAATAAAATATGCTAATATTTGTACGCGGTGTTACTGTTGCTTGTTATCAAAGTAGAATGTAGACACTGAAGAAATGGCTGATGTACTTTTCTTTGCGAAAGCTTGCTATACTTAAAGGTAATGGGACATAGCTGGATAGCGGTGTAACAGCTGAGTGTTGCTGGGATTAGCGAGAGTCGTGCTAAGAGCTTCGGGAAAGTTCTCAGGTTTCTGGGTGTACGGCAGGTGTTGACCGTGAATGTGCTACGTCGGTGGTGTTGATGGCTGGCACAGTGCAACGAAAACGGGAGATTGTGCTGGTTAGGTTGCAGTAGTGCTTTATTATGCAGTGTTGAAGCTCTCTAATTGGAATAAAACCGTTGCTTATGGTTTCATGTTCTTATGAAGGGAAGAGTTTTGTCAAAGTTGGTAGTGACCATAAGGTCCTTACCTTGATCTCGAATGATGAGGGGTGTGGGGTATTGAAGGAGGTCGGCTCAGCGTGCGCAAGAGAGAGCCGCTCTCTCCACCGTGTGTTTGAAGCACACTTGGCACGAAATCCCCCCAAGACGAGTATATGAATATGGCGCGTGCCAGGACAGAATTCCGCGAGTTGAGCAGGCTCTAATAAGGCGGCTCTTTTTCAGCAGGGAGGCAATGCTATGGGCCCTAGTTCAAAGCTTGCAACATCATGCCCGCGCACCACAAAGAGCGGAGCGTGCGTGCGAGAGAGCTGGCCGTCCCCATCGCGGCGCAGTAACGAGACCTTCACAGTCTTAACGCGTTGTGGTGTGCTCTAAATCGCTGCTGAGCGAGAGCAGTGCTTGGCCGCGTGAGAAATGGTGAACTTCAAAGGTCGAGCTAGGAGTAAAGCCTAAAATCTCAGACTACGCGAAATCATCATTTTTCCAAACACGGCTTAAAGGCAGTTGGCACGATAAATCTCTGAGAAGAGTAGGACTGATACCGCCTGGCTGGAGGGCATCCCACGACCCTGAGCAGGTGTCTGGCGACTCCCCTCCGAAGGGGCCTTATCAAAACAGCAACATACCGACCCGAAACGCCCACCAAGCCTGCCGCGCATAACAAACGGACGACCCGTTCCTTAAATGTCTGCTTGCTTTATTTGCTAAGTAAAATATGAAGCGAAAGAATTGTGTGAAGCGCCTGCGGTGCTGCACGGAGGTATGATATGTACATACATGCAGCCGTGCCCACCGTAGCTGTCATTGGCAAGATCTCGTCCGGAATTGCTTCTCGATTCATTGAGAAGGCTTTTCTGTGCAGGTTTTTGAACGTTCCACTTCGTTCTTTTTGCCATTTTTCACTGATTGGCACCGCTTCACCGTTTTCAGGTCCGCAATTCCAAAATATTGTGTCAAACTGCCTTCAAGCGCGCGGCTAGGTGAACGATTCCTATTTGGTCTACTTTGTCGATTTCGGTCATTTCTGCAGAATCCGCGTTTCTCTCAATTCTGCAGAATCGTCATTTTTTCGGTCGCCGCGTATGCGCCCTGGCAGCCGCACGGCGAAAGCCTCCAATGACACGAGAAATAATTTTGCCATAGAAATTAAGTGTCCCGTGAAAGAGGACATTCGTCCTGAAAAACGCTAAAGTCAGCGCGCGTAACATTTTCTGCATAACTTAATAATCGAATGTTTCGTAAACAAGGTCGCTGCGGAGTCACAGAATCCGTGGAAAGATTTGAAGGCAAATTAGAGGAGATTCGGAAAAGAGGATAATAAATGGAAGATCTAGGTGCAAAACTTCACTTTTCCCCATTTCTCCGATTCTCCGCTTCTTCAGTTGACTCTGAATCTAGCAACACGAACTTATCTCTTTATCAATCCACTTATGGGAACAATCAGTATCTGTAAGACCAATGTTTCCTCCTCAGGCCGTTCAAAGGCGCTTGTGGCGATTAGTTCCTTATGCCACATCCGTCTAGAAACAGTATATTGCTATTCACCTTTGCGTAATAGACATTCCGGCATAAGAATGCCAAAGTAACGAAATCTAGCGATTTCAAGTTTCAACAATTCCGGATGTCTGCGTTCGGAATAGGATGGTCTGCGCTTGCATGTTCCGATTGCGTCCGCCGTCTCCATGCCAACTTGGTGCAGCACCCGGCTGTAAGGTTGCGTTTGCAAGGATTATTTATCAGATCTACCGATTTCATTAATGGACAACCGCGTTACGACTACATTAGTGAAGAAACCCTCTGTGGTGAGGGTGAAACCGGTGAGATATCTGCGTTCTAGAATAACTTTTCAACTTTCAGCGGTGAAATGGTCATGGATACCGGTCGGAATCGCACTACATTTTTGTTGTATTATGACGAGTTTATTTCGTTGTGAAGCAATTTTGACAGCGGATGATATAGACTGCGTGAATCTTGGGACCCCTTCTTCCTTGCTCTTCTATTATGGGACAGAATGGATGTGCGGCTTGAGTTGAAATAACGCCATGACCTGCAGTTTGCTTTTTTCTCTGTCATTACTGACCAGCACAGCGGGAGAATACTCTTTGGGCGTGTTTTCTGCCTAATAGCATGTGCGAGACGAGAGCAAATTAACTCCTTGGTAGTGTTCCGCCACTTGTTAATCATTCAGTTTTATTTTATCAACCAACATCCCTTTTTCTATTACTAACAAAGTCTCATTGAATGAGTGCGACTTTCTACTCCCCTCCGACCATACTTTTCCAAAGCATCCCACTGAACCAGACGCAGCTGCGTCTCTCCGTATTTCACTACTGAAAAACAAACTAGAGGCACAACTCTGAATGGTTTCCCCGAATCTGACCAAGCTGACAGTTGACTGCCTTTCTAGTTTACGACCTCGCACACAGGGGGGGGGACCGGTGTCCAGGACGGACGGAGTGAGCCCGCCCCAGGCTGTCTTGTCGTGGTCGGCTAGAAATTGATTTAGGTAGAGAACAAAGGAAAGAGGAAACTGTTTTGATTTAGACCAAACTTCAGCGTTTTTTTGTCGGTAAAAGTTCAGTAGAGGCAGATGAAGTTTACTGCTGAACTGTTTATTTTCAGATCCCTCGAAAGATCCAGCCGACTCCCGTGTTCGCGAAAGGAGGTTCGCCAATACAGGCTGCTTATCTAAGAGAAAGTTCAGCACAGAATGCACTGGTAGATCCCATTTAACGTTTTTCTGATGATGGCTTTGATTGAAATTCATAAAAGTTTTCCTCATTTCGTGGTTTTAGGTGAGAAGACCACATTCTTCGAAGCAAAATGTCAGTCAAGCGGCGAGAACACGACACGTTGAAGTCGGTTGTTTATCAGCCATTCTTTTTTTTCTATAAAAGTGTATTCCATGGGTACAGAGAGCCCTGTTTGGTGTCCCGTCGCGGGAAGGAAGAGCGACCGGTGATGTCGTTGTCTGTGTCCACCCATACGATCAGCGGGGAATGTGCCCCTTATGGATACACAACGTAAGAAACAGCCACTTGCTATTGTGGAAGCTATTGGACGGTCAATTATGTTACTGTTGTAACTGATTTCTCCTCCCTATAGTCGTCCTGCCCGTTTCCAGCGTTACACGTTTTCCTCATGTAGATACTCACCGCTTACTTCAAGTTCGAATGTGCCAAGAGATGTCAAGAGGGTGTTACTGTATGGAACCCCTATTTGTGACATTTTGAGATA